CTCAGTGGTATTTAACAATAAATCCTGAACTACATGTTTAGCAAAAGCAGAGGGGGATGGATGTCAAGTCCATTAATCACAGATGAAAATAAAATCCTCTAGGTTTGAATGTCAACCAGGCATTAGCCTTATCTTGCACTGTAAAATCTATTCAAATGACCTCCTGAATAGGGTCAGCTCATTTTTCCTGCCCCAAGATATTTTAAAGAAGAAACTGGCCATGCAAGTGTCATAATCTTCATGATACTTTAGGCTGTGGGTAGTTGGTATTTTGACATAAGGAGATCCACATGCAGTGTTGTACTCATAGTTGTTGGATAGACAAAAATCACATGCACAATCCATATAAATCCACCTGTTTTGTAAAGTATTTGTGCCCAATAGATGAGAAGTATTTGAGGGTAATTTCAAAGTCTGAAAATACCCATTTGTGACTGAAGTACTTATTTAAGATTGCTTGAGGTGGGGGGAGTAGAAATAAACAAAATGGTGTCCACCTCTCCTATTCCAGATAAAAGGAAGTTCTGGGGTAGAAATCAAAATAGTAGTTATCAAAAGGGATGTGGGTAAGAAATGTGATGTTGGCATTTGTGACTGTATTAAGCATGGAGTACTATCAACTACTAACCATTTGAAAGTTGTAAATGGCTAGCCATTTTAATGGTATAAACACACAAATACACCATCAAGCACATTTACAACCTGTGAATCACTAAAGACTTGGGAGGCAGCGTCTTGTCCCTGGCAGATGCTGCCTGCATTCCTCTCCTCTCCCAGTGGCTTTCAGAAACACAGGCTGCTGCTTGAGAGAAGGAGACTAAAGACTCCAAAAGGCTGAAATTAGAGTGGCTTTGATATGAAATGCATCTTAAAAATGTACTTTAGTGCTGCTGGAAAATGAGGCTATTGTGGTGTTTGTCATAATTCTGTTAAAAAATGATGCTATTTCTACAATGATAGAGACACCGACTGGGAAAGGAGAATGGGGGCTATTGGGATGTTTGATGATACCCTTTGCCTTCCTCGGCACTGGGAAATTCCACAGTTGTCATTCACATTAGCAGAATGTAGAACATTAGCTGAGCAATGCAAGGTGCTCTCATGGGAGGAATCATGGCTACTTTGTCCATCTCATTAACCTCCAGAGTGCCACATTGCTAGAGGAATCAGTGTGCATGGAGAAGGATGATGGAGACACTGTGATTCTATAGTGTAAGACAGGCAAATCCAAATGACAGGGATACTGTAAGGCCTGGAGGCAGCCTCTTTAGCCTCCTAATTCTGACACCTATAGGGATACATTTTTCAAAAATGTTACTGTTTGAGCATGTATAAAATGAATTCCATGTATAAAATGAAACATGTTCATAGCCACTCCCCCATATTCCCTTTTCAACTTCGCTCTGGATACTCCTCAACCCTGGCTTTTCCTCTTTGGAACTTGATGATCTCTTCTTTTTAAAGAATGACACCTTATGTTCAACCAGTGCTGCTCACATATGCATGGGTGTGGGCCATCCCCTGGAGCATGGATAACTACCCAGTGGCCACAGTATTAAAGAAGAACAACTTTCCCTCTCCCAGCAGCTATCAACTGCCAATAGCTTCCCAGGAATGGGTGTGGCCTTGAAGGCTCCTTCTTACTCTGTGCTGGAATTTTGGTTGGCTTCGTGTTGTGCAGGTCTTGGGCAAGGAACCACAGCTGTGTGAGTTCATGAGTGCAAGGGTTATGTCATGTCTGGAAGACAGCATTTAGCAGCATCCCTTTCTATTCTTCAGCTCTTACATTCTTTCTCATCCTCTTACTTGATGTGCCCTGAGTCTTGGTGAAGCGGGGGTGGGGGGGTGGGGGTGGGTGGGTGAATAATAAAGATACCCTCTCTTGGTTTATTTTATTTTATTTTTAAATTTTTGATACATATATATTTCTTTTGGTAGTGTTGTCTCCCTAGGCCAGGGTTCTACCACTGACCTAAGTCCCCAATCTCATGATGTTCCATCTAGGGCTGAGCACTTACAGTCACTTCACTTAGTCTCAACCCTTCGGCTCATATTTGCCTTTTCTTCTTTTCATATGCCAGGCTGGATACAGGTACTTTAGCCACAGCCTGGCCTCACGACCACCCTCACTCCTTCATCTTCCTCCATGTTCATCCCGGGGAGAAACCTTTAGAAGGAGAGAGGCTGGAAACACCTGCTTGCTTACAGCTGGCCTGCTCTGGTCAGTGCTTCTAGCAAATTTATCCTTTCTCTCTCCAGTCTTACTCTCCATTTCTTTCAGAAGCCTATTATAAAATTTTAAGGTTTTATCCTATGTATACCTAAAGTCTCCAGGCTTGAAGATGAGTGTCAGACTTATGAATATATTCTGTAGTACATACAATTTTCTTACATGTACTTTAAAAAAAACCACATTGGTCGGGTAAAAAAAGTCACAATTTATTTGCATCTTTAATTACATGTGTTACTACTTTTTTGTCTCCTGTTGAAGTGATTTGAGGACATTTTCTTATCTAAGAGGAACAGTAGGTGGAAGAGTCTTCCAGGGGCAGGAGAAGACCTCGTGTCTCAGAAGGAACTTGTTGAGAAAGTGGGTAACAGAGCAAAGTGGCATTCTAGTTACCATCCCCGAGGCAGGAGGCTGTCCAGGGGGAAGAGGGCTCAGCCTGCAGCTGTGCCCACACCGCCATCCAAGGAGCACCATTGCTGGAGAAATGGCCGCTGAAACCCCCTTCTGCGTTGTCTCTTATTTGAACCTTATATTTGGCCTTTTATTACTAGAAAAACATTTTATTGTCCTTCTATTCAGATAAGTAGCCAGGAGCTTAGAACAGGAATTATTCTAGTCAGTGTTTGGCAGAACCCTGCTGTGATTGGTGTGGAAGCCACCGCTCTAACCTCCCCCTGAATCTTTGTATGTTCATATGTGTGCACCTGTGTGAATGTGCGTGTAGAAGCCAGATCCAGCCTCAGCTGTGGTTACTCACGCTCTAGCCACCTTGTGTTTTTTGTTTTTGTTTTATGAGACTGTGTCTCTCACTAGCCAGGAGTTCCCCAAATAGGCTCATCTGGTTGGCCAGCGGGCACTGGGGATCTCCCTGTCACCACCACCCAGTGTGAGCATTACAAGCTTCTTGTCATCACACTTGTCTTTATTCATGTGGGTTCTAGGAATCGAACCCAGGTCCTCATGCTTTCAAGGCAAGCACTTTACTCACTGAGCCATTCTTCCAGCCCTTCCCTAAGTCTTTAACAACAATAACATAAAAAATGCCACTGATTTTGAATTTCAAGGAAATTATGAATACAGAGGCAAGAGCAATATCAGGACTGTTGAGGTGGTGTTAGGCATTTCAAAGACAGACTTGCTGAGAATCTGCCGCTGACTCAGTGTTCTACAAATAACAGTTGGCCTATGAGTCATGATACTGAAAGCCTCCTGGCACAATGCCTGAAGCCAGAATTGTGGCATTTTGGGTAATGTTTGCCCCAATGTGGGCTGAGGGCAGCTAGAGACCTGGAAAGGTCTTCTGGTGCTGTGATGACCTCAGGTGTTGGGGAGGCCCAAAGATATCAATCATTGACTCTCCCCATCCTTCACTGACACCTCTTTTCAGCCTGTTTTCTTAGTCGTGACTCATAGTGATGAAAAATTCTCATAAGAATAATTTTCCATTTGGGTTCCAATTATGTACTGACATGAGGCTCATTAAACAATGCATTCATTAGAGAAAACCAAAATATGATCGTCATGGGTTACTGCACCTATTTCACATACTGCCAAGGGAAGCCCTAAGCTGATTCAAAGGGTGCAAAATATTCTCGTCATTTTGGTTGTCATCACTAATGATACATAATAAGAATCTGGACATCTGCTGAACTGAGAACAAGTGCCGGGAGGTGGCCATGATCTGAGACAGGATGGTTGGAGCAGATCTTCCATTCTAGAGAAAGGCTGTCACATCCCAGCAGTGATTGCCTTCATTCTGGATCTGGTCTCCAGTGAGGTTTTTGTTTTGGAGCTTTTTATTTTTTTTCTGATAGAAGTATTTTGTGGAACAATGATGATAAAGTCTTTCATTTTGGTGGAAAGCTGGTGACTGAGTTGAGGGATCCTAGCCACTACCCCTGCCAGCTTAATATTTATACTGATAAACTGGCAAGGAAAGTCAGTAGCAGCCTGTTTTTGCCATTTTCCTATACTGAATTACAATCCGTTTTACTCTTACCAAGTTGTGAATGCTGTCTTATTTTATAGAGTACCTTGTGTGTGTAGTACAATTTTCGGGTAAATTGAAATCTCTTTTTCAATACAGCCTCATTCTTGTGTGCATGTGTCTGCAAGTGCATGCGCACACAAACACCTCTGAATTAATATTAAAGGGAGGTAGTTGCTCTGCATGTCATTTGTCCTGCATAGAGACCTGACCACTACAGGGAGATGCAGACTATCCTGACCCCACTGCTTTGTGTTATTTGATTTCTTAAATTAATTTTTTATTTGTAATCTCAGATTTTGTTGACCTTGCAGAACCCTTTAAAAGAGCAGTCAGAGAGCCGACTCCAGTGTGTAGACAGGCCAGTGGAGAATAAGAAATAATAACTTAGTCTGATAAGTCAAATTTTAGATTCATAGTTTAAAGGTCAGAAGTGCAAATTCCATTAAATTTGGACTTATGGTCAAATTTATTTTAAGTCTTCCCCCCATCTTTAGTTCAGAAATATCTAAGATTATTTATGATTCAGAAAATTTTGCACACTGGAGGGGTAAAAAAACTGAGTTGTAAAATCAAATATAATAGCCATGCTTAAAAATGAGATTTTATTCACTAAGCCTTCATTTGTCCTCCACAAAACAAGTTGTGTCTAGAGGCGAGCAGACACATTTGTGATTGAAAAGTACTCATTTGGGAAAAAAAAAAAAAACAACAACAACAATATTGGAAACAGTGTCTCTGAGAACCTCTTGATGTGACAAAGTGGTTCGTTTTTTTCTTTAGCTCTAGGATCTGGGAGTTAATTGGTGTAGAGAACGATGCAGGGAGAGTAGACGACATGGAGGACAGCGTTTACTTCTTCCATTGGCTGTGACTTCTGTGTCTCCACTTTCCTGGCTCCCCTCATATGTGGACTAGGGGAAATTTAGGTGAGTCCTGTTTCCACCCACCTATATCCCTATCCCCCAAACACATGCTTGCTGAACTATGTCTCTCTTTGATCCTCAGTGAATTGCTGAATAGGTATCTATCTCAGTTTCCTGGTTTTCTCAGAAGCCTAGTAATTCATTCTAGGCCAGTCAGAAGATGAACGAATGGACACATGAGGTAGGTGGGGCTGGCCTTTAAAGACCTATAGCAGTTGGATAGGTAAAACTATTCAAAATACTTCATTACCCTGCATATAGACATGATCATGACCACCAGAAGATTCTGTCTTGACTTCAATGACACCCAATGCCCCCTAAATGACCTTCAGTATTGAACTCTGCAGATAGCTTCATGGCTATGCTTTGATATCACTGATTTCTGAGGACACAGGATGAGGATACCTGTCCCATTCTGTTTCACTTAACTATTTTTTTTTTAACATGCTCTGGTGTCAATGAGATTGAATCTTTTTCTCCCAGAGAAATGCCCTTGAACTCGTAAGGTGTGTACTTGAACTCATTGTTTGGCTTGAAGTAGATTGGGTAGAGGATAAGAGAAATCCAAGTGTCCTCTCAGACCATCAACTTAATGAAGTCTTGGCAGTTAAAACACATGTTGTCATAGCCATGCAGACTCCATTTCTCTGGAGCTCTCTCTTTTGTCTTTCTTTACTCAAGGAATGGTGACCTCACTCTGTTGCCTTCCTTTTGTCTGTGGAAGAGTCTTTGACTAGAGTATTGTACACTATTGGATAACACTGAAAACCCAAGACCAGATCATTGCTTTTACCGGTCATTTTACTTCTGGATTCTTAACTTCAACATTTCATATCTCTGTCTGAAAGATGTATATGGACTTAGATGATTATATGAAGCATAGGCTCATTGCCTCTTTTTCAATCATGAAAATATTTTCACAAGATTTCAGCTGGAATTTTTTAATGTAGGTAGGCCTTTGTTGTTTATGTTTTTTTAAATGAAAAAAACAATTTTTTTGTATATGGATATTTTGTCTGCATGTATTTCTGTACACTGTATGCATGGCTGGTGGCCAGAAACGCCCAAAGGTGGACAGAGTAGCTGTCTAGAAGTGTGGAGATCTCTGCAGTAGAGATGTTTCCTGACAACATTCTCAGTATTTTAGTTGGTGGAAGTGAGTGGGTTTGTTAATACATTCCAAGAGGTGTCACCAGGATGTTAGGTCTAATACAGAGGTGGACAAGGAATGGCTATGAAAGGGGCTAAAAATAGCCCCCAATTAAATATAATTAGGCTCTGGACCTTCAACATTCTAACTTCTCCATAATCTCTGAAGTTCTAAGAAATTAATCAGCCTTCTAGAAGGTTCTCCATAAGGTACAGAGTTATTTACCTGACTTTTCATTCACAACTGTTTCCTTTTGGTGGTGGGGTTGTGTTCCTGAGCTTTTTGTTTGTTGTACAATTATTGGTAACTTAATGACAAGCCTACGTGTGTGTGTGTGTGTGTGTGTGTGTGTGTGTGTGTGTGTGTGTGTGTGCATTGAGGCAAGATCTTTCTATATGTAATTATGTCTAATCTGTAACACACAATGTAGACTAGGCTGTCCTTGTCCTTTCAGTGATCTCCTGTCTCTGCCTCCTGAATGCTGGAATAACTGGTACTATCATACTTGGGTCCTTTCCTCATTCCCCCTCTTCTTTATTTCTCTGCTCCTTCCTTCTCTCCCTCATCCTTTCTTTTTTGATATAAGGAGATGTGTAGAAAGAAGACAACAAGAGAACAGAAGAGACCCATTGGTTGAGGAGAGGTGCCCAGAGCAAAGACAAGGAAGGTTTAGGCATTGACAGATATTTGCTTCATAGCATTGCTTCTTCCTGCCAATTTCTGTAAGATGGAGTTGTCAAACATTTGAGTGCATCCACTGATGCCTGTGAGACCAAGAGTACACGGGGACATCCTTCTTCCTCCCACAGATCTACTTCTGATGGAAATTCACTTAAGATACTAGTAACCATGGGTTGGGGTAAAACAATTCGCTTTACTTCATTTGTTCCCCTACAACAAAGAACACAGGGAACCTGTAGTATAAGATAAGGAATTGTGAGCAAAACGCAAACCTTGATTCTTAATTGATCTGCTAGTCTCTGTGGGTTTAAGTTAACCATTATGAGTGAGTCCCTGCTGTATTGTTTTCTAATTAAGGCATATATATGTCTAATGAGATTTCAGAATAATAAGGCATTTATAATACTTTAATGAAGGGCATTCTTTTCATCCTTATTTACTTAGCAGCATAATCAAGACCAACTAAGAAAGGTTAGCCACGGTCAAAGGAAATTGATGAAGAGTGGCTATTAAGGGCTGGAGCATATGTACGCAGACTATGGTTAAATAACGGTAAGTAGGACGTGTTTATTAAAATGATGCAGGGATTTTATACCTTCATTCTTGATGTCTCTTAGTACCTGACATTATACTGCTACGGTTTCCATGGAGACAGCACACACTCTTCCTTTCAGCTGACCTGAAGTTCAAGCCCTGCTGTTGCAATAGAAATTCTAAAAAACCACTTCCACCTTTATTAAAAACAAAAATACAAAATCTATGTAAAAAGGAAAAGGAAAAAAAAAGGACGAGAGAATCCATTGACTATATTACAGAAGAGGAGAGAGAATGTGCTATTTTCATTAAGACAGAATCAAGAAACAACTTACTATGCTGGAGGTTGAGAGTGTCTGTCATTTCTTTCCCTAAATTACCTTAGAATTGATGCCCCTGAGCCTGCTCTAACATCTGCACCTTTCATTTCTAATTCAATACACTCTACTATTTTTAGTTTTCTGGAAATCTCTCTCTCTCTCTCTCTCTCTCTCTCTCTCTCTCTCTCGATTTAAGAACTTGCTTCTGTATGGCTCACACACACAAATGTTGACTTGGTGTATGAGTTGACTTTAATAAAGGCAGGTTTACTTTGGGGAAGGATCACCAAGATAAGATATTTCACAGGAGTAAGGGACCAGAAGCTGGATCTCCCATTCACAGTTCTCCTTTGTTTGGCTTATTAGTTAAGAAGGTTAAGAAAATGTGACTTCTGAGGGTCTATTCATTGGCTTGCATAGCCAAATGGTCCAAGCATGGCTTGGTTTCCCTATGGGGTTGTTCCTCTAGGATTTTCTACACTCCTGACACCCATGTTTATACAATCCCCAGGTCATTTTCTGTAAAATGTCTGAAGCAGTTACTCAGACCCCATTAACCCAACATACAGAAGCAAGAACATGAGAGTGATCTTTTCGAGAAGTCTCTACTTAATGGCATTTTGTGTTTCAGTGTTCTGGTTGGGACAGCGTTATACACTGGTAAGACATAGGTCTATAGGGCTGTGGAGATGGTAGGTGATAAATTGTTTGCCATGAATACCAGAGCTTATATCTCCAGAACCCTGTAAATGTTAAGCTTGTGTGGTGGTCTGCCCATAATTCCACCGTGAACATTAGAGGAAGAGACAAGAGATTCCTAGAGCTAGCCAAATTGGTGAGCTCTGGGTTCAAGGAGACAGTCTGCAACAACATATAATGTGTTGACAGTGATTGAAGAAGACAAATCCATGTTAATCCTTGCCCCCCCATATCTACACACAGACACCCAGACACACACATACACACACACACACACACACACACACACACACACACACACACACACACACACAGATACACACACCACAAGACAAACATGTGAACAAAACCTTCAAGGAGGATTAGGTCAGTTGGCATTAAACTTAAGATATTGTCTTAGTCAGTGTTCTATTGCTGTGAAGAGACACCATGACCATGGCAACTCTTAAAGAAGAAAATATTTAATTGGAGCTGGCTTACACCTTGACAGGTTTAGTCCATTCTCATCGTGGCAGGGAGCATGGTGGCACACAGACAGACATGGTGCTGGAGAAATAGCTGAGGATTCTATGTCTGGATCTGCAGGCAACAGGAAGAGAGAAAGCCACTGGGTCTGGCTTGGGCTTTGAAAACCTCAAAGCCCACCTCCATTGACACACTTCTTCCAACAAGGCTGCACCTCCTAGTCCCTTAAAGTAGTATGAACATTTGGGTGCCATTATTATTCATACCACCACAGGTATATATTCAGTTTCTAGGCCAGACTAATGCATTTCCTTCCCAAGCATATAGGCTGCATGGCAGAAGTGTCTAAGGATGTACAATTCTGAGGTATCACAACATAATAGTGGGCAGATGCTTAGGAAAGATAACTGCCGACTGTGAGATGTCAGCTGGTTTTTCAGTTTAACCCCTTTTAAATTGCAGTTTGTTCTTCAAATCACACTGTCTCTTTTATAGTTCCTAATACTTTTTAAACCATGTAGTAACATTTGATCTGCATTGTGTTGATTGTTGTATTTGTTGTTGGACCACCACCATCATCCAAAATAAACATTTTTCTTTGTCTAACTTACCCATTCTGTGTATTGTGTTTTTAGCAACAGAAAATAATCTACTCTAAACAACTAATCTGCCAGATTTGTGCTAGGAGTCCCATAAGGGATTTCATCTGTATTCTCTGATTCTGCTCTCCACCAGGGGGTGCAAGAGCAAAGGAATCAAGACTCCTCCCCGCTGAAGGACTCCTCCCCAGCTCTGGGCAGAGCTCCATCCACTTATTCCAAATGAGCCCCTGTTGTAGTATCTTTGGCCTTGAACCTGACATGCACATGGTTTCCAGAAATAACACAGGAATAAATATTTCTATTGTGTTGCATGTAGTTCCCAGCCAGAAATCTGTAATGACTGTAAAATATTCTCTTTATGAGGTTTTCGCCCATCACAATCTTTGACTTTAATTTTAGATATAGTTCCCTAAGTCACCCAAAGAATTTGCCCAGCTTTTGTGGCTACATAAAGGATGATAAGCAGCAGGGATGATATTAAAAACATTGACAACTTGAGCAGCCCAGACAACAGGCAAACCAGCAAAGGGGTGGCTGGCAATTGGACGTATCACCCATGCCTGCAGTCCGTGAGTAAGCTGGCCCTTGCCTCCTATTTCCCTCACCATCTCTAGATGAAGGGGTGCCTGTTCAGAGCCTGCTGGTACCATTTCAATTCCTATTTCTACAGTTGAGAAAATGGTCCCTCAGGGAAGCAAGTGACTTCCTTAAAACCACACAAGAGTCAGATGTAAGCCAAATCAATTATGGAACTCCACGCGAGCAAATCTCTTTGTGTTTTGTTTCATGGGAAGACATATGTCTTAGAAGCAAAATTAATCAATACAATTCCTAAAATGTTTTTTAAGTCTTTCTGCGATGTAACGGGAAAGAAAAAATAAGAACTAAGGTCACCTTTAATCATCTTTGTATCTGCTCTTGCTATTCTGCAAGACTATGTCCCTGTCCTCGCCCTTTCTAAAAGTGATACATAAAACCCATTGGTTGGATAGGTCGAACAGTCACTTTTCCTTCCAGGGGAAGTACTATGAGACTTTCTGGAGAGGTGTGTCTGGTTCATCTGAAGCAGCTATCCAGCAGAACAGGAAGTTGCATCCCCTTGCCCCACTAACACAGACTCCTAATGCTCTACACAACAAAGCACTTGAGCGGGTGGCAAGGAAGCATAGGTTGCCACCTTGTCTGACCACTTTCCTAGTGAGAAGTGATTTGGGGAGATTGGCCCATGGTACAGAGAACCTCTAGATGTCAGAGTGGACACTAGACCACAATGGTTCCCAGCTCTTTGCAAATGAGGCATGTGTCTGCATTCTGCCCAGCACAGTATACACACTGTAAATATTTACTGAAGGGAGAAACAAGCCTGCTGGTAGATAAGAAACAACTTAGGAAGAAAATGATGTCAAGAGGAAAAGGGTGTGGGCAGCTTTCTCTCCTTCCTCCACTCCCTTTTTGTCTTCTTTTCCTCCATTTTAGCCCATCGGAATGGTTTCAGTTGGCCATTTACATCAGAGAAACTGGTGGACTGAATGATACTTTCTCAGACCCTGGTGATTTACTCCTGGGCTCCATCTCCTTTCTCTTCCCATCACTTTTCTCTCCTCTCTTTTTCACTGAATGCATGAAAGAGTCATTTTCCGTTGCAGTGTTATTCCAAAGGTCGCTGACAGGGTGGCAGTAAAATGACACAGTTAAGTGATACAGATTTTAATGACTTAATGCTCTCGTAATTTCTAATAAAAACATCAGGAGAGACAGGGTGATGTTTCAAAAGACATAAAAATGGAACATGGATCATAGTAAAAGATGTTTGTGCAAAATTTCCATGCCAGAGAATGGAGCCAGGCAGGACGAAGTTTGTACAGGCAGAGCCATAAAATAGAGGCTATTAGTAAAGGGAGGGGGAAGGGGGATGTCACATCAGAGAAAAAGAAAAAAAAAACTGAAGATATGTCAGAAGGAAAAGAAAAAAATACATGACAAAAGGAAATAAAGGTGGACTGGCTTCTTAACAAGGATAAAGAGCAAATAGGAAATTATGGGGGAAAGAAGGAAGGCTTGGCCTGTCTTATGAGCCAGGCTTGGCGACAAAGGGTAATAGCAGAAAGAATACTTAAGGTAATAATAGTCAATGAGGAGAGACAGCGCAGGGAAGCACTATGCCTCAGAATATCCAGAGTAGCAAAATCGCTGCAGAACACAAAAGGAGAGGATGGAGGTAGTGCAGGCTGGCTCGCAATTATTTCTGAAACCTCATAGAAGACTATTAGGTTCCTAGGAATTTGAAAAGGGGAAGGCAGCATGAAATTTTTATTTTTAAACCATGATGAAAATGTGTTAAAGTAGGTCACAGAGAAGAATGCATGAATTTGGTAGGCTTCTTTGGCACCTGGGAAAACCCCAGTGAAATGAACAAAATCGATGAGTGAGCCTGGCTGGCTTGTATGCATGGCTCACAGGTGGGCCTCTAAAAGCCGTGGGTCAGGTGAACATCCATTGTTTCCCCTCTGCACATGTGTACCACACAGTGGGCACCAATTCATGTTTTACTACTCCTCAGATGGCTAGCGTCCACCCTAGCCCCACTGTGGCATGTGGGAAGAGGGATGTTTTTCTCTTCTCCTTCCTTCTGCATGAACATGGGAGGACTCTGCTTCTCCATCATAGTGTGGTGACAGGAGCTTGTTTAACGAGAAGAATCAACTGGCTGGAGTAACTTCACATGTTCCTTTATATCCATAAAGAAGAATGTGTTCATTGAAAATGTGAGCTGCTCTGAGGCTTATAGGGCAGAAAGTAATCCTTCTCATTACTCTCAATTCCCAGGATGAAGGGGATCCTAGGCTCTGAAGGAGCTACATGAGAACCATAATGTGGGTCATGAGTACATGGAGAGGAGTGAACTCTGTCCAAGAGCTTTTCTGTCCCTATG